AAGATTGGCAGATTTGCCATTGGTGCCCTGTGCTCTTCACAGATGTGAGAAGCTTCACACTGAGCACATGTGACAGACTTGACAGAGTCTGGAGACGCCATGGAGAGCATTCTGCTGCCTGCAACATCCTCCAGCATGACTGGTTTGGCAGTGGGTCAGTAATGGTGTGGAGAGGCATGTCTTTGGAGGGCTGCACAGCCCTCCATGTGCTAGCCAGAGGTACCCAGACTGCCATTAGGTACCGGGATGAGATCCTCAGACCCATTGCGAGACCATATGCTGGTGCAGTGGGCCCTGTGTTCCTTCTGATGCATGACAATGCTCGGCCTCATGTGACTGAAGTGTGTCAGCAGTTCCTGCATGGTGAAGGCACTGATGCTATGGACTGCTAATGGCCTTCCCGTTCCCCAGACCTGAAGCCAACTGATCACATCTGGGACATCATGTCTTGTTCCATCCACCAGTGCCACATTGCGCCACAGACTGTCCAGGAGTTGACTGATGCTTTAATCCAGGTCTGGGAGGAGAACCCTTGGAGAACATCCACCGCCTCATCAGGAGCATGCCTCGGTGTTGTAGGGAGGTCATACAGGCATGTGGATGCCACACACACTACTGGGCCTCATTTTGACGTGTCTTGAGGAATTTCCACTCAAGTTGGATCAGCCTGTAATGGGATTTTCCACTTTTATTTTGAGTATGATTTCAAATCCAGACCTCCATGGGATAATAATTTTGATTTACATTGATCATATTTATGTTATTTTGTTCTCAACGCATTCCCCTGTGTAATAAATAAAGTCTTTCAACTGGAATATTTAATTCATTGAGATCTAAGATGTGCTATTTTAGTGTTCCCTTTGTTTTTTTTGAGCAGTGTATAAATCTAACTGCCAGAAATAGATTTTTTAAAAAATTTTCTATTGATGTCATGAAGTCTTTTGGTTATGCTCATTGTGCAATGAAAATCTGATATTATATGACAACCCTTCTTTGACGAATGAATACTACCTGCCTCCAGATTTGCTGTTTGCTAATTTAATTAAATGCATCCATTTAGATGTGTAGCATCCATGTAGACACACAAAACTGAGACAGTTGAGGTCTTTATTTCACTACTCTCCAGTACTGTTTCTCTCTGTTTGATGCTGTGCACTGTGGTGCTTTTTGTCATGTGCTTCGTCACATCCTCTCCAAACTTGAAAATCATTTCTCCTCCACCATCATGGAGGATCTTCCAATTCCTTAAAGCGTGGAAACACAAGCTTTTCTTATTGCCACATCCTCACTGGTAAGCTATGAGAAAGAGATTTGAGTAAGGAGACATGTTAGCATTATGAAAAGCATCTGATAGCTGTTTGGTTGAATGTTTCATTTCTGGTATTTTCTCTGCCGTCATCCTTGATCACCAACAGTCTTTAAATCCTTACCTTTGTGCCTGATATCACTCTGGTGAAGGTTTAACTTTGGGAATCTGGGCTTCTGGTTTCCCTGGTCTGTGGTGCTGCTGGTCGTCGCTGCAGGCTTCTTCACCTACGTCGCTGTGCTCGTGGTGAGGCACAAACACAACACAGACTGTTTGTGGGTTTGAAAAATTGATCTTGTTTTGTTAGTTTGTTTGGTTACATATTTACTACAAAATGACCTGTTGTCTCTGGAAAGTCTTTAAAGTTATTATTTTCTCTGCAGTGTTCAGTGGACTTGGTTTCACTCTGCAGTCTAAAAACTGCTTCCCTAAATACAGTTTGGGGGCAAAACACTGATTACATGAGATGACGTGTGAGATGGAGATTGTTAATCAGTGAGCTATAGTGGTGTTAATTGGTATTTGAGACTAGCTGTTTCCCTCTGCTTCCAGTCTTTATGCTAAACTAAGCTAATTGCCTCCCAGCTCTAGCTCCATAATAGACTCACAGGTATGAGAGTGGTGTTTTAATGTGACTCCTGACAAGAGGGTGAATGAGCACATTGAGACAAATGTCATAACTATTTCTCTCAACACACCACTGGAACGTGTACAGATCTCAACATGTAGTCATATTATTACGCCTGACACCCAGGAGGAGGCTTTAGAGAATGTAGAGTCTCTTTATGCAGCACGGAGGGAAAATCTGTGCTGATCAGATTCAACTTGTCTGTTTTTCTTATTTCTCTGTGCAGCTGCTGGCTGTGTGTTTACTGTCAGAGGGCCAGAAGCTCCATTTACACTGGAGTCACAAGGTAACTCAGTGCTGTGTCTCTTGGTTGGAGTTCATATATCGATTCAGCTTTTGATAGACAAAGTTTCACCGACTCTTGGCAGTCACTGTGAATAGACCTGAAGGTGAAATGTGCACAAAATTCCTCTCATGCTCGTGAGAAATGACCTTTGTGTCGACATCAAATGGGCAGTTCACATTGAGCAGAGAAGAATCTCCACACAGCTAGTGTTAGGATGAAAAAGTAATGTGAGCACAAATACAGCACTTCTTCTGCACAAGCTATGATCACATAAGTCTCTGCAGACATAGTTTAATTCATACAAGAATGTATGACACATTTTACAAACAGTCACCAAGTAACACCCTTAAAACCCAGGGATCTGCCCAGACCGCGAGATGCTAACAGCGATTTGTGCATTCCGAGCTACCAAAGAGATTTTTCTCTTTGGTTGTTGAACATTTTACTTAGATTATTTTTGTAATTTGATTGTAGTTTATGGCAGAAAAATCATGTGGGAGATCCCATACCTGTGCAGACTTTTTTTCGGATCCAAATTGACATCTTGAATGCCAGTAGCTAGATGTTTATCATATGAATATATATATTGTTAAATCTAACTATTATCATGCATTTTAGAACTCTATAAATATAGTTCGTTTTTCTATACATGTGAACTGTGACATTCTCACATTTGTATGACTTGATTCTAATTATTGCAAACAGATTGGGATCCTGGTGAGCCTGACGTTCTCCATCACAGCCACTGCCGTCTTATCTGACCTGTGGAGTGATGAATGGACGACGTTGGTGCTTTCTTTCCAGGTGACACTCTTCTTCTTCTTCTCCTCTACCAGCCCTCCTTCCTTCATCTTCCTCTGCTGCCAGGTGTGACCAAATGTTTTGTGTCCTGGCCAGGTAACGGCACCTTTCTTACATGTGGGTGGAGTGTTACTGATGACATCACTTGCTTGGCCAGTCGCTTTGCATTTCTTTCGTATGAAGAGCAGAGGTAAGGAGCGCAGTCTGTCACATTTTCTACTGCAGAAATGCTAAATCTTATCGTAATTCCTGGGCATTTTTAGCTCCTGTCACATTTTTACTCACTGTGGGTTCATTTTTCACTGCAGTATAAACTTGGAACCTGGAACGAGCACAATCATGGATAGAAGTACAATAACAAAGTTATAATGCCATAAATCATAAGTCAGTCTTGCAGACTTTGGTGGCCCTCCAACTTTTCCTGTCTGCTCGTGAAATATCGCAGGTGCTATCATTCGGCACTTGTGATATTTAGTTTGGAAATAATGGACCATTACAACCTTTATTTTGAAAACTTTAGTGAAGCAAATAAAACCAATTATCCCTCCATACCAAGATTTAAAAAAGAAAAATATGAAAAGGTTAATTTACATTGGAAACAAGAGTTTTGTCCACGTGAAGTCGCATGGGTTATAGATTTTTATGTCCTCAGATGCTTTTAGTTGAACATTTTTCTGTTTGTGTGCATGTTTTAAAGTGAGTGTTTGTGTTTCAGTAAGGCGGGGCCTGATCCTGGGAGTCTACCTGACCATTCTGTCAGCTCTCTACTTGGTGCCCCTTGGTTTGGATTCTCCTTGTATCAAAGAGGAGGGGACACTCGGCCCTGCACCAGCCCTCATCGGCCACAGAGGAGCTCCTATGGTGAGCAACAACACAGTGAAAAAACATTTTTCTTGAATTGAGCTGTGGTTACAAAGACAGTATTTGTCTCCAACGCCTTTATTCAGAATATAACTTTTTTGACATGTGCTTAGTGATTCTAAGTTAGAACTCCAGTCCTGAACAGGATTAGGAACTTCTGGAAAATCTCTTGACTTTTCTTCAGAAACAAAACAACAAAACTTGAATTTTTGAATTGGGATTTAACAGTTATTTTAAACATGGATAAATCTGCTGGTTGTTTTCCTAATTAATCAATGTACCTCAATAATTTAGCCTGAAAAAATGTAGCAAAATGGTATTCACATCTCCACAGAACAGACAGAACAGTCTAACAGTCATATGTTTTTAATGTATTGTGATATATGACAAAGAAAAGCAGGGCATTCTCACAACCGCATTCAAAGTCTTTGCTTGAAAACATTACATAAACAATTAGCAGGTTATTATTTTGCCTTAATACATTAATCAGTTATTACTGGTTGCTGCTCTAAGTAGGACAGTTTCAGAATATTCTATAAAGGTTGCATCTTTTCCTGCTGTTGCAAAATGATCTTTTCTGTTTAAGATTTAAACACATGAGACCAAAATCCCAGCAAAGCAGTGTGATCTACATTATTCTTGGACACTTTGTGGGCCTGAGGTCTGTCTGTGTTTTGATACACGAACTCTGCTCACATCCTTCCTGTCAGACAATGCTTCTGTTTTAGCACTGTACTCTGTACTATTTGCGTTATCTTGACATTCCTCAGCGAAATAGCAGCAAACACGCCCTGTACATGTGCTGACTGCAGCTCCAAGTAGCTGCATGTTCTGGATGTGAATGTACTGATTGTGTGTTAATTATCACTCGGCAGCTTGCTCCAGAAAACACACTGATGTCATTTGAGAAGGCAGTGGAAGCTGGAAGTGATGGCCTGGAGACGGACGTCACCATTAGGTCAGTCAGCAGTAAAAATGTGTCTGCACAGTTGTGGTACGGTGGCCTTAACAGCCCAATAAACTGCAGCTCCAGCTCCAGAAGAAAACACATAAACAAAAATACAAAAAACACCCCCCCAAAAAAAAACACATTCACTGGGTTAACAACACAGGCATAGCATTTAGAAAAACTGCAGGAATCTGAGATTGATGTCTGAATCATGAAATCAGGATGTTAAAACAAAAAAACATGGATTGATAACTTTAATAACTGAAATTTTGCCCACGAGGGATGTCAGATCGAGGCAATCAAGGCCATATTTAAATGATCAATATTGATCCTAACCTAAGCCCAACCTAAGTTGAAAAAAAAATTAATGAATGAAGTTTTATTAAACAACAGTTGATTAATTTGTGTTACAAGTTAAATGTACTGGAGATTTGTCCTTTGCTGATGTTGCTGTTTCAAACCCCATATGCTTGATAGGGCCACAAAGATTCCTTTTGTGGTAAATCCTTGCTTGAATTAATACTTGTATGCTAGGTGGTGGTCATTAAGCATCCCAAAAGACTTTGTCATGGTGACCCTTTACTGGTTGAACCCTCACAATATGAAACTGCCCACCTCCTCTGGTCACTACAGTATTTATCGGTAAGAGGCTTCACCTGTTGGCAAGACAAAGTACTACAGCTATTCTACAGTACTTGAAGTTTGCATTATCTAGCAAATGGCATTGAGTTGGGACTCGGTATCTGCAGATGCTAAATATTAAATGAATCTGTTTGGATTGCAGGCAAAAATACTTTATCATCCCAAAACCTATCCCTGTTGCCTATGTGTTATCAAACTGTTACTAATGCTGTCCTGTCATAATTTTAGTTTTGATGGGATTCCTTTCCTAATGCACGACCGCACTCTACGACGGACCACCAATGTCCACAAGGTTTTCCCAAACCGGACCGACACCTTGGCTGCCATGTTCACCTGGAGTGAACTGGAGAGTCTGAATGCTGGTTCCTGGTTCCTCTCCGTGAGTCACTGAGGCCGAGTCTGAAGACACATTTTGATCTAAAAAAAACAAAACAAGTTTGCTCCTTTATCCTTGTCAAGAAAAATGTCTGTATATATGAAATCACAAAAAAACAGTCGAACAGCAGGAGTGTAACCCAAAAGCCTGGAATAAACCATTACTAGTCTTGGTTGGCTGCCAACAATGACATAGTAAAGAAAGCAGGGAATCACACGTGGACTGAATTAGATGCCTGTGTTGTGTACTATTAAAGGAGATTAACTGAACAGTCATGTGTAAAGACATTAAAAAGTCCTATTAGCAAGCACTGTTTTGGCCATCTCTACCATTACACTGCATGCTGACTTTATATGTATCTTCTCTGGAAGGAGTTTTCCAGAAAGTCAGTTTCGGTGACCTTATCTACTGTTTCTTGGCCAAAATGCCTAGAAAAAGCTATGTTTTAAATAATATCAGTGTGTGCATGAACAAAATGTTCAAACACTAAGGTTCACACATTGGAAAATACACTATTATAGTAGGTCTTTCTGTTATTTAGACAAAAACACTACTAATCTAAATGGACTAGAAAAAAACAACAGAAACACTCAGTTTAACCCAATACAGCTGAAAAGCAAACAACATCTTTATCACACAGTTCAGCACCCCTCTTCAACAGTCTCAGCTAATTTACTTGAACCTTTCACGTAATATCCTAAAAATAAAACTGGTATTTAGCTTAGCAATTTTTAAGAGAGGTCTATGGAATTTGGTACTAAAGACAAGAGAAATAGATAAAGTGTTCATTTTAAATTTTAGTTATTAAATGCCTGCTTGATGTAATTTAGGTTTTCTGAAAAAGTTGTATTAGGTCAGTGGAAGATGGTTCATAAACTCATGCAAGAGTTTCCAGGACAGATTAACAATATCGGCAGACTGTTAATGTAACAGCAGGATTGAGGTTAGGAAGTTACTAATCTTTAGAGCAACAATTGAGTTCAATCAGTGTATTGATTGTTACCTGAGAATTAAAATTAAATCAGTAGAAACTGTAGAATTCCTTTTAACAGCTCCATTGTCCCACAACACAATCAACTGGCAGATGAAGGGCATGGCTGACATGTTACATCACAGTATTAATCGTGTATTGATGGTTGTGCTTCCAGCATGATCCGTTTGGTACAGCAAGCTCTCTGGGAGCTGAGGACCGGCAGCGGGCAGGAAATCAGTCGGTGTGCAGCCTGCAGGCCTTCCTCCAGCTGGCAGCTCAGACGGACAAACTGGTGATCTTTGACCTGTACCGTCCGCCTAGAGGCCACCCATACAGAGACGGCTGGATCCATCGAACGTTGGAGGTCATCCAGAACGAGTCGTCCATTCACTCCTCACAGGTGAGAACGAAAACAAACACAACACTGACATCAGGGGTTCCAACTTTTGGACAAGAAACTTTATGGAACTTGTCAATGGCAGACTTTTTTTAGGGGAAGTGGGTGGAACCAATTCTGAATAAGGACTCAGCAAAGCGATAACAGTCAGTAGGAAAGACTTGGAGCACATGAAGTAAGATCAGTGGGTTAGCATAGCTTTATATTAAGCCTGCTTCAGTTTGTGCCTCTCATGTATTACCAGTCAAGTAACAGAGAAAAGCATGTTTCTGTAAAAGAAAAACACCTGACAGCCTTTGAAAGACTCTGAAGAAAGGCGATATGGCAGTATTTTCAACCTCAAGTTGATATATGCACATATTTTTTTTTTACAGTGGTAGGTGCAGCGTTTCACTGTCAAACCTTCATTCATTGCTGATGTGTTCGTATCATTGTGTTTTCTTACTCTAAGGGTCATTCAGCAACACATCCAGCTACTCTGAAGGTTTTTCCAAAATTCTCAGACATATCTATGCATCTGGTGAAAAATATTTAGCGTACAAATGGTTTTCAACTTGTTATCTTCTTCCTATTTTTGTAGAACACAAGAAAACAGTAAAACACAATAGAAAGCAATGCCAATGATGGACTAATATAACTGACGCTGACGTTTTCATTGTGGTTCATGGTGAATCAGTAAACCAGAGAACAATTATGTCTGTCGGCCAGGAAACTTGCAAACCAGGTGGAAATTTTTTTAACTTTGCAACAAGTGGAATATTTAGTCACCCAGAAGTTCTGAATGAAGAACACCTGAATTTAAAGATTAAAAAAAAAAAAAAAAAAAAAAAAAAAAAATGGAAAAAAAATCACAGAAAGATTAATTGTCAACCAAAAACATACAGACATAAAAATTACATTAAAAGACAAATGATCTGTTTGGCCTTCAGTTTTCTTTTGGCCAGATGTGCTGTAAAATAGCTGACTTTGGTAATTTATCAAGATGGCACCGGTGAGTGCAGCAGCCGTCATACCCAATCGTATGTGTCTGCAGAGCTGCAGGCAGCACTCTCAGAGCCAACTCTCTCAGGGCAACTCTCTCAGGGCAACTCTCTCAGGGCAACTCTCTCAGGGCCGCACTCTCTCTTCTTCTACAGACGCGTCGTCAGAGCTTTTTTTTCAAGACAGCGCCAGCGACCACAATGAACGATCGCCAAAATGCACGATTTAGTTCTAAAAGAGTGATTCCACACTTCATGTCCTATAGTTTTAAAGGTTCACCCCCCCCCATCCAAATAGTGATTTTTAACTAGCAAGTCAAGGTTTGAAAGGTTTATTCCACCCAAAATACTTATTACAATGATAATAACTTGGTTGCTGAGACTTGCATTTGGGCAAATTGTGTAACAAACATACTTATTAACAAGTAAATAATAATGGACTCTACTGCTGTGGCCTCTGTGGTCTGTAGCCCAGATGCAGTAGTATGAGTGTGTTCAGAGCTCTCAGGACCCACCGACAGGTCAATGGTGTTTGTGTCACCTGCCGATTTGGATACTAAAGAAAGTAGGAGCATTCGTCGCCGTAATGGAAGATGGTCACGTCGTGTGACCATCACGTTTTATCTGATGAAAGCTGCTGTAAAACCAACGTTTAGCTTGTTTGTTTCGGTGTTAAACTGAATCACAGTGAGATTTGGGCAACAGAGCTCAGAGATGATGATAATTAACTACAGACAGCATTAATGAAATTTGATCAGATGATAGAAGCATGTTGAAATGATGACTGTCAGTTAAATGAAGCAACGCGCTTCGAGGCTACCAGTGCATCCTGCCCGGCAGAGAGGAGGAGACCCGCACCGTGATGGAGCATGACGTGAGGCTGATGTTTCAACGCGTGAATACCAGGAAAGCGACAGGACCTGACGGTATACCAGGCAGTGTCCTGAAAACCTGTGCCAACCAGCAGGCACTGGTGTTCACGGAAATATTCAACCTCTTGCTCTCCTAGTGCATCATCCCCAGGTGCTTTAAGAAGTCTGTCATTGTTCCTATCCCCAAGGAAACCAAGCCCAGCTGTCTTAACGACTACCAGCCCATTGCCCGTACCTCTGTGGTGATGAAATGTTTTGAAAGACTAGTCAGATATTTCATCATCTCCTCCCTACCTGCCTCCCTGCATACCGGCCAAACAGATCCACAGATGACACCATAAATCACCTGCTTCACACAGCCCTGGCCCACATGCACACTAGGAAGGGGAATTATGTGCGAATGCTGTTCGTGGACTTCAGTTCAGCGTTCAACACCATAATCCCCTCCAGACTGGTCACTAAGCTGCGGGACCTCGGACTCACCTCCTCCCTGTGCAGGTGGGTCTACAGCTTTTTGACCAGCAGACCACAGGTTGTTTGAGTGGGAAATTGCCTATCCCCCTCACGCACCCTCAACATCGGTGTGCTGTGTGCTGAGCCCTCTGCTGTACTCACTGTACACCAATGACTGCCTGTCCACATCAAACTGTAACACCATCATAAAGTTTGCTGACGACACAGCAGTGGTGGCTCTGATCTCCAACAACAACAAGGAGGACTATTTGATGGAGATCACCCACCTGGAGGACTGGTGCAGAGACAACAGCCTCCTCCTGAACATCAGCAAAATCAAAGAACTGATTGTGGACTACAGCAAAAAGCAGCAGAGGGCATACCACCCACTCAGGATCAGTGGGACAGAGGTGGAGCAAGTGGAGAGCTTCAAGTACCTGGGTGTTAACATCACACAGGACCTGACATGGTCCTGTCACATCAACACCCTGGTGAAGAAGGCTTGACAGTGTCTCTACTTCCTCCGACGTCTGAAGGACTTTAAGCTCCCTCTCAAAGTCCTCAGGAACTTTCACACCTGCACCATTGAGAGTGTTTTGGCCGAGAGTATCACCACCTGGATGGGCAGCAGCACTCAGCAGGACTTCTTGGCCCTGAGGAGGGTGGTCCACTTGGCTGAGCGCACCATCAGAACCACCCTCCCCAACCTGCAGGACATTTACACCAAACGATGCAGGTTAAAAGCCAGGAAGAATGTGAGTGAGCCAACCCACAGACTGTTCTCTCTGCTGCCATCAGGGCGGCGTTACTGCTGCCTGAAGGCAAACACAGAGAGAATGAGGAGGAGCTTTTTCTGTCAAGCTGTCCGCCTGCTGAACTTGAAACAGTAAACTCAATAGACAATCAAACCATGTACTTTGCACTGTTCACCTTGTATATATATATATATATATGTACATAACCTTATGATTATTTTATTATTTGTTTTATTCCCTTTTTGCATTGTTTGGAAATTTGATTTATTTATTTCTCTCTCTCTTACTCTCGCTCGCTCTCCGTATCTGTATGTATGTGTATGTATATATATATTCTTATTTATCTTATTATTATTGTTTCGGTGTGGAACAGGTGCACAACGCATTTCACTGCGCGTTATACCATGTATAACTGTGTTTGTGACCAATAAAAACCTTGAATCCTTGAATTTAGTTTTGTTAATTGAAATACTGGACTAATTCTGTTAACTGATTAACAGAATTAATCCAGTATTTCATGAGTTTACTCATCATTATGTATACCCCAGGTTTGTGTCTTAAAGTAGCTTTTTCATCTGTTAAATACACTCTGAGGTTTTTCAACACATTATCACATTTTTACAAATGCAAACTGAGTTTTTATTGTAGAAAATACTTAAAGTCGGTTATCTGAATTGTGAGTTGAGCAGTAAAAGCTTGTTGCACATTTTGTATAAAGTTTACTCCTAAGTTTGATGCTGTCCTGTTCTCTGTCAAACAGAGTCCAGTATAGAATCTTGTAATGTAATGTTGCCTCGAGTGACAGAAATCAGCTCATGAATAAAGAGTGCAGTTTTTGTAAGTGAGTAGTGGACAGTAATGTGACGGCTTTGCTTTCTAAAAACACTTGTGTTGTGCATGTCTGCGTCTCTCCAGGTGCTGTGGCTGCCTTCAGACCTTCGCTCTCTGGTGCAGGAACTTGATCCTGAGTTGCATCAGACTTCAGGCAGTCAGCTCCCTCTAGAGGAGCTGCAGCGTCAACACATCGTCAAGCTCAACCTGCACTACAGCTCCATGTCCACGCAGCTCATCAGGTGTGATAAAAAACAAATACTCTTAATTTAATTCATTAGATTTATGGATAGTGGATGTAACTTCTTTCCTGCTCGTGTTTAACTTGACTTTCCCCTGACTTGTGTGCAGTGAGTATGCTGCAGCAAACATCACCACCAACCTGTATGTGATTAGCCAGCCGTGGCTCTACTCTCTGGCCTGGTGTACTGGAGTCCACTCAGTGGCCACCAATGCCCCACAGCTCCTCGGCACCATGAGTGCCCCGTTTGTCCTCATGGTGAGTTCAAGAACAGGCGCAGCTGCATTGTTTCACGTCTCCAATAGGAGGAGACACACTGAAAGGCCATGAAAAGATGTTTTTATGTTAGGGAAGCTTTTATTGTGAAACATCTTCGTTAGTCACAATGTAGTACAGTTAGAGATGGGTATTAACATGTACTCTGCTGTGCTTACTTTTACATTTCCAGGAATTCATCGCTCACTTTGTCTTTAGACCTGTTTATTATTTTACTTTAAAAGACTGCTGTGCTGACGGTTTGCAACTCCTCTGACTCTGTTCACAGCAAAATAATGGCTGCTGATGGCACTCTCTGTTTTCTTCTGCCACTGTTAGAGTTTGGCCTTCGAGCATCTCAGTGAACTCAGTAATCTGAGGTCAGAACATCAGAGAACTGCGCTGACAATAAACTGACAGAGCAAAGTTTCATCCCATGTACATTTAATATATGATAGTGAAACTGTGCCGTGTTTTATTCTGGTGAAGGTTGATTTTCAGCCGGATTTAAAATGGATTTTGATCTTTAATCTTAGCCTTTACACTGGAATTTTGTCGAGATTGAAGCACATTGATAAAAGACATCCCCTGATTCTTTATACCAAGTTTTGTGTCCAGTCTTGGAGGACTCCAGCAGCACCAGTGGATCGAAGTGGAGGCGTGTTTTCGTATCCAACTTTTAAACCAAATGTCCCATTTTCTAACAATTAAGTACTGTTAGTTTCCTTGATCAGTGTCATCAACTTCCACTGTATTGGACTTCATTTTAATTTTTGGTTTTAATCTTCACCTAAATTTGCCACAGATTATCTTCAGTCCAAGCTGCACATGTTTTATCAGATAAAATCCTTTATTCATGTTCCTCCTCTCCACTGGCTTTCATTAAATTGTTCTGGTAGTTGTTGCCTCCTTTGCTCGCAGAGGAACATCACTTTGTGTCAGAACTCATCTTTTTAATCACATATCTGTTGGTGAATGTGCTAATGTCACATGCGATGAACAAGTTAAAACATATGTAAAAAAAACAAAAAAACAAAACAAAACAAGGATGCATTTTTCCAGCTATTATCACTTCACTATGTTGGTAATAATGGACATATACTGTACATTTAAAAAATGATTAAATCTAAATAGAAAACTATCCATTTAGGCGTTTTCTGTCTTTCTGTGACTGTTATCAGCATGAAACAGGTGTGAAATTATAGTGTGTTATTTTAAAAAGTGGGTAAAGTCTGCAGAAACAGTAGCATGTGTGAACTTTAAAAAAGATGTACTGAGAGATGTACATTTCTGAATTTATTGTTTTAAGGAAGAAAGAAACTGTAGTTTTGTTTGTTCCATTTTTATTAATGTGCACATGCAAGACAAAGTCGTTATATTTGACATATTGATCTCTCTGCTCCCACTCTCTGCCTTTCAGAGTCCAGCTGACTATAACCTGATGTGGATTCTCACTGATGTGGTGTCCTTAGTGCTGATCTTCATCATCTTCTTCTTTCACAGGTGAATCTCGCACACACACATGAAACCAGTAATAATACTTTAGCAGCTGACAGGATGTCTCACCTGTACTGTGTTGCAGCAGTTCAATAATACCGTGTTGTTTGAATTTCAGATGGCGAGAGCGAGGACTGGCTTTCTGCTCAGACAGTAAAGTCACGCTGGACAACGGCACTTACAGCAAATTTAAAACAGGTAACAGACTTTAAAACCAAATCTGATGAAATGTTGGCCATCTGGCACCACTGAATGTTGACGTTAATGGCAGTTGTTTAGATATTTAACGCGGACAGAAACCATCAGCCCCAGAGTTACAAAAAATCTACTTTAATTGAATAGCTTTTATTGGCTGGTAAGTGGAAGTAAAGTTTTATCATTAAGACAGAATTACCCTTTTTGAAACTATTCATTACATACTCATGCATTATGTGTTTATGTATAATTATAGGCTCATTAGGTTAACCAATAACTTGTTTGTAATTTTGGTTTTAGCCTGAATTCTGCAAATAAGTGTTTTTTATTTTACATGTACAACACAAATGCTTATAATGGATCAATATTCCAATATTATCTGTGATTTTATTACAGCGTATCTTAATCAGATAAGAAATTACATGTCCACTGTAGTTCGAACAAATGTGCAACAAAAAAAAAATCTTGCATGTAATTTTCATCATATTTCTCTCATTTCTTCTTCTTCTTATTTTTTAAATTATAGGTAATATATTAATGGAGCCTTTTGATTTATACTTTTTGTTTGTATAGACTTTAAAAAAAATAGTTAGATATTGAAAAGCTGCACGTTTTCTGGAGTACAGTATTATCACTGTACACTGAAAGTAGCTCTGTGAAAATAATTTTATTCACTAGTTTCAGTTGTTGTCATAATATTTCTCACTGAAGACTGAATTAGAGCTTAAACGATGCGTTGATTAATGTATTTGTCCATTAACAGAATTTCAGTTTAAATTCAATTTTATTTGTATAGCGCAGTTTACAGCACGTTATCACATAGTGCTTAACAAAGTAAGGTATAGACCTTACAAATTTAACAGAGAAACCAACAATCCAAAGCAGCCTTTGAACTTCCTTTGAGGAAGTGGTTGGCAACAGTGGGAAGGAACCAAACCCCCCCCCCAGAGGGAGGGTTTGGGGGGACCCCCGGCAGAACCAGGCTCAAGGAGGACGGCCATCTGCCTTGACCGGTTGGGTGAGAGTGGGGATGAGGGGTGGGGAAAACAGGATGGCAGATGGAGAGCAGTAATAGAACAGAACAATAAATATGAATATAAGCATTTTGGGGGTTGGTGAGGCCAGCAGCTGGAGGTCAGGGACATGAAGCTCCGGATCCAGAGACGTCCAGAAGGAGCACAGGACCTCGGGGGAAACACAGAGTTGGTGACATGTAATGGTGCTTATAACTAAATGGAAGGAAGAGAGAGGAGCTCAGTACATCTTTAGAATCCCCCGGCAGTGTAATGCTATAGCAGCATAACTAAGGGGCAGTTCAGGTGATCCTGAGCAGCCCTGACTATAAGCTTTATCAAAGAGGAACGTTTTTAGCATAACCTTAAAAGTAGAGAGGGTGTCTGCCTCCTGAACCCAAACTGGGAGCTGATTCCTTCTTCTGCAAACTCTAGGAACCACAAGTAGACCTGCAGTCGGAGAACGAAGGGCTCTGTTAGGATGACAGTACAATAAGGTTTTTAAGGTAAAAAATGGAGCTTGGCCATTGAGAGATTTATATGTTAGAAGCAGGATTTTAAATTCCATCCTTGATTTTGTAGGGAGCCATTGAACAAAAGCTAATACGGGAAAGATATGATCTCTTTTACTGGTTCCTGTCAGAACCCTGGCTGCAGCATTTTGGATCAGCTGGAGATTTTTAAGAGAGTTATTGGGACATCCTGATAATAAGGAATTACAAAAGTCCAGTCTAGAAATTATAAATGCATGGACTAGTTTCTCAGCATCACTCTGAGACAGGATGTTCCTGATTTTTACTATATTACGTAAACGAAAAAAGGCTGTCCTACAAACTTGTTTTATATGGCTATTGAACGACATGTCCTGGTCAAAAATAACTCTAAGGTTCTTTGCAGTAGAACTGGAGGCCAAAGCAATGTCATCTAGAGTAGCTATCTGGTTCGATAGTGTGTTTCTGAGGTGTTTAGGGCCAAATACAATAACCTCAGTTTTGTCTGAATTTAAATGAAGGAAATTGCAGGTCATCCAGGCCTTTATGTCCTTCAGACATGCCTGGAGTCTGACATACTGATGGGTTTCATTTGGCTTCATAGATAAATATAGCTGGGTGTCGTTTGCATAACAGTGGAAATTTATGCAATGCTTCCTAATAATATTGCCTAAAGGAAGCATGTACAAGGTAAATAATATAGGTCCTACCACAGAGCCCTGTGGAACTCCACAACTAACTCTACTGCGGGTGGAAGAATCATCATTAACATGAACAAACTGGAATCTGTCTGATAAATATGATTTAAAACAATTTAGTGCAGTTCCTTTAAGCCCAATTAAACATTCCAGTCTCTGTAGCAAGATGCTATGATCAACAGTATCAAATGCAGCACTGAGATCCAGCAGAACGAGTATAGAAACTAGTCCACTGTCTGAAGCTATAAGATCATTTGTGACCTTCACCAATGTTGTCTCTGTACAATGATCCATTCTAAATCCTGACTGAAACTCTTCAGACAAACCATTTCTATGCAGATAATCACATAATTGGCTTGCAACAACTTTATCAAGAATTTTAGAAACAAAAGCGAGGTTGGACATGGGCCTATAGTTAGCTAAAACGCCTGGATCTAGAGTAGGCTTTTTGAGTAGTGGTTTTATTATAGCTACTTTAAAAGCCTGCGGTACGTAGCCTGTTAATATAGAGAATTTGATGATATTTAATACTGCAGTATTTATTAGAGGAAAGATTTCCTTGACCAGTCTAGTTGGGATTGGGTCTAACAGACATGTCGCTGGTTTCGAAGAATTTACTATCGACGTGAGCTCTGACAGATTTACAGCAGAGAAGCAGTCTATGTATAAATCTGGTCCTATGGATGCATCCAGAGCTGCTGCACCTACAGACATGCTAATAATTTTTGTCTAATATTCAAAACTTTATTAGTGAAGAAGGTCATAAAGTCTTCACTGCTGAGAGCTGAAGAAACAGAAGGCTCCACAGAGCTGTGATGCTTTGTCAGCCTGGCTACAGTGCTGAAAAGAAACCTGGGTTTGTTCTTGTTTTGCTCAATTAGGGATGAATAGTAGGCAGTTCTCATCTTG